TGCTGTCAGTCCTTAGTTTTTACTTTATTATTTTGAAACTTTTGGCAGCTGTCAATTAAAGATGAACCGGCAATTGATTGAAGCTCACATTGGTAAGATGCCAACAATAACAATGAAGGAAAAATTTACATGAAATACTTTCGCATTACAAATTCATGTTCTGATGGAAAAATGGCACTCTGAACTCACTGGTGATTATTTGGCAGATGAAGGCTGGAAGCTACAGCTGACACCTGATCCGATTAAGACAAATTTTTCGTGTGTAAATACTTCAGTAAAAGTTTTCGGTCGTAGTTCATGTCTCGCACGGAATTCAGATTCTTTGGATGGCTGTTTTGGTCAGATATTAATACAAAAGTTGAACTGTTTTCAGTGAGAAGTAAATGTGGTCACGTGCCAAATGAGTTCTAATTAAGTTAATGAGGTGCTGATCAACTTATACTGTACGAGTGAATTTTTTCTGTTTTACACTAATATGTCAGCAACTATGACGCGAACGAGAACGAACTGAAGCACGAAAGCTCATGTATCAGGCCGAATAACTTCTCTGCGATATTCATGACCACACCAGACAGTCAGAATGTCCGTTTCTCTGAGCTTCTCAGCTTTATACGTCGACTACAGTGGAATAAATTCATTACTGAAAGGAATTAGCAGTTTTTAACAATAATATTTAAACACTGTGCAATGCTCCTTGCACCATTTTAACATGGTAGAAGTATGGAGGGCGTAGGTAAGGTGAATGTGCCCATTTTCTACTTCTCCTAACGACAATGTGCTGCAATATAAAACTGAAACATTTTAGACCAGGAAGGGGTGAACGCCGTCCAAAAAGCTCTGGACTTTTGGATGAAACACACCTGTGTAAGTTTCGTCAGAGACAGCAACGCGAAGCCGGATTTAATATTCTTCGCTGGGATGGGGTAAGCATGCTGATCGTGTGTGCAATTTCAGTGCACTTAAGAATGCATTCACAAACTATTGATTGGTACATTTTTTTCATCTGAATCTGTACGTCTGCTATCGCTCTGTCAGAGACGTCAAACGAAGATCACATCATTGAAATTTGTGAAATTTCAAAGCCTTATGTTCTGGCTCGATTTAATAGAGTATAGTTAAGTTTTTCTACTGCATTGCTTTGTGAAAACAGCGCAAAACGGTTTATGCATACACAACAGAAACAACTTGAAAATCTGGATGATTTAGAACTACCAACTTTCCAATTCATATTTCACAGAATTTCTTCAAGGTGGCGAGTTGGGGTAGTTTCTGGAAAAAACTTTTTTGTCATTTAAAGCAATTTTTAAGTCTGTAGCCAGAAGGCAGGTTTTTGGTTGGTGCTGTCGGTTAAGTAGTTTTCAGCGATAAGTGCGACAAGACTACTCTAATCAGCATATAGTTCATATCCCTCGTATCTAGTCATGGTTGATGAATGATCAATATCTATTCGGCCAGTGTTTTTCCTTGATGATCCCGATGCAATCCGACCATCGAGGAGGGGTAGAGGTGTATTTCCGGTCCTACAAAATCAGGGAAGTCTTTCGCATTCTTCCTAGACAAAGATGGGGGGCTTTGTTTTTCCCGATAACTTCGTCACCACACTGGCACTCGTCCGTGGCCATCTTTCTCCTCCGAGTGACAAGTCAGTCTTGATTCTTTGAGTGAGGGTGTTCCACATTTCTCCTATTTAATATTTCTCAATTACATGATAATTGGTATACCAAGCCATTCTCAGAATTTCTTAGTAAGGCATTAAGCATATTTAAACTTTTACACATGGAGTTAATATTACTTTCAGTGCTAGACAAATTTTCCTACTTTTCTCTAAGGCACTATGATAAGGAAGATTTAAACAAAGTTTATTATTTACAACAACACTTTTGAGGCGGTTTTTGCGACGTGCTAATTTTTTTTACTCTACTGTTGAATATATTATTTTCAAATTTATCTCGATAATTATTGTTACATAAGGTTAATTTGATGTTCTATGTTTTAAGCAGAGACACGAGTTGTTTAGTAGTGGTATAATTATGTATGTTTAATTATTTATATGATCAGGGTTAACGGGTTTTCGGTTAACTCCAGTCGTACGGAAAGAACTACTGCTTTTCTTCATCTTTTTATTTCAATCACTCTGTATGAAATATAAAATGAGTTGTTTTCATAGTTAACTAAATTTTTTAATGTGTATATTGCATTGCCAAACTCTGGCACGCCGAAATACTTTAAGTACTGTCCTTTTTCCAAGTTGTATATGTTATCAGTCGGTAGCGGGACTCGGTCGCTATTCCAGATCTTAATATTCTTAATCTTGATCATAGCACTTTTATCCGAACCGAATTCCATTATGATATCTTCCCATAAGATTCGTATCCTTTGGATCAAATAATGCAGCTCTTTTGCTGATCTCTTATGCAACTTCAAATCGTCCGTGTACAACAGATGCAATATTATACTGCCATCTTTCAACTTTCATTCATTCCTATGTTATTCAGCATGTAGCTGAACAAATTCAATAGCAAGAAAAACAGAAACAGCGAAATTGATTCTCTATGAATTTATGGCTTGATCTTCACCAACCGCGGAGAGACTTGATTATGTGGCACTGTAGTTCGCCATTGTTCATCGCTGCTTCGAAGAAATTTATTAGCCTGTCATTGAAGTTGTAAAGTTTCAGGTATTCCATAACCTAGTTATGTGGTTTTAGATCCAAAGCCTTCCAAAAGTCGATCCAGATTATGGCCACATTGGCCTTTGTCATTTTTTTCATCGGGATGTGTTACTTTGTTTTCAAATCACCGGTCCGTGTGTTCCCTTGATCTTCTCCAACACCCTTCTTGCTCAGGAACTATGTTGTCGTTGGCGTCGAGATGTGTGTAAACTGCACTGGCAAATAATACGTCAGGAGTTTCCAGGTCGTTGGGAAGAACCTTATTGGTTTTTAATTAACCACATCGCCATGAGTCCACCCCTAGAAGACTGTTAGCGTCAAAGCTTTCCTTAATGGAGACGTTGATCCTTCTTCAAACACCCTCAGCAAGAATACTGGAATTGTTTTTTTGCCTTCATGAGGCCATAGAAGGCTTTAGCCT